ATTCGTAAGTAAAAAAAAAAGTATGGATCAAGGATTCATGGTACTAATAACATTTGAAAACGGCGTAGGCATTACCTGGGAGTAACCAGCCAAAACGCGAAATCATTTAGCCTTCCAGAAGAAGATACAGCCTATCATTTCCCGTATCGAATACACTTACAAATTATGACGGCAACTGTCAAACGTTGCGTATAGGACAAGCAGACTATAAACGATCGAAATTAATTTTGGTTGAATCCAAGAGACTGATGAACTCTTAAATTTAAAAAAATAGAAGTAGAATTTCGGCATTTTTCATCGCGATTAGTGAATCAAGCTGTATAATTATAGATTCTATTTAACAGTAAGCTACAAATAATCAGTTCCATACATATATACATATACGTTCAAGCAAAATACTTTTTAGCCAAGGAAATCTTCAATTTTCATTTTATATGCGTTTTATGTGACTGTTAGTTGTATGTGATAGTTTCTCTGTCGCAGCTGATCTTCAGGGCAGTCGGAAGCTCCACTGATGACACTTTTGCAACTGCGTTGCACCGATACATAAATTAATCATTGAACATGTCGATTAGAGATGTGATCTTTGCATGCCCTGTCACCCACCTGAAGATCATGTGTTTGGGTTTTTTCGAACTTGGCATGTTTTTGTCTAAAACGCCAACCTTGAGCAGAGTACGAGGTGCATACAAGGCCAATGAATCATTTACTACAAAGATCGGTTCGAAAGTGCTAAGGTTCTAACATTTCCTATACATAACACTGACATCTTCCAATAAATTTTATTTATATAATATAACGTGCGACAGAACACGGAGCCCCGATCAGCTAGGTGCTCTGCTGGCTAAATCATAGAAATAACTGTATAGTTTTAACATCAAGGTGATCAGACTGTTGTTGAACAATAGGGCAGTGTTTTCGTTGTTGTTTACGTTAGCATATCAAGCAAACCGTTCAGGATCAATCTGTGCATGACCAACTCAAACACAAACTATTACGCCACATGTTTACCTGAATTGTGCATGTTTTGTGCAGCAAGGCCTCCAGAAGCTAAATCTGTTTCGTATAGTTGCCTTTCCAATTTAAGTTCTGGATATATTTATAGCGTAGTGATGACCGCGGCCAGTGCTCTAATAAATCAGGATAAGAGATTTCCACGTTGCATATGATCCATCGCCGAAAAGCTTCATAAACATATACGAATCACTAACAATATGCCAATAAGCAAATGCTATCGAAGTTAGCGGCGGGTATTCGAGGCACCTCAATGATGAATATCTCTTGTGGAATCTAATTTACTCGTTCCCGTCAGACAATCTGTTCCCAAGAGATATCTGTCGTCAAGGCCTGCTTCCAAAAACCTGAAGATTGAACTGTTTCAAACAGGCGGCGTGCCGTCCTCTTGTAGTGGTCGTCCTTACACTCGCAATCGGTATCGAACATCATTTCCTGGGTAGTTCCCCAGCCCAATCTGCTTTTTCTCGTAAAGTCAGAAACGACGACGGATATGTTTCCTTTTTAGTTCTGTAGCATATGAAGATTAAGGTATCAGGCGGGGTTCAACCTATAAAGGCTCCTTTGCACTCAGATACCTGTTCTGTAGTTTGTGTTTTTTGACTTCACTAGTGAATACTTAGTAAGGACTCCATCGGTTGATTCAGTTGTCTCTACAACAATAACTATACAATGCCATTTTCATCATCCTGTTTACCTAACAGTAGACGTTTAAGACGTATAGGGTCATCATGCGAGCTTAATTGACAGTTCGTCTTTGACCCTGATCCACAAACATGAAACACATAAACAAATGCGTCTGAATCTCACTTTCGCGCGTATAGCTTCTTGTAGACGGTCTTATAAATGCTAATGTTTATATTGCAGGAATATCAATTTTCGGGTAAGAAAAATGTATCACAGTGAATATAATTGGCGATTCTTCATGAAGAATTCATTAGGTTGGGTTGAAACTTAGGTATATTTCTTCCATTCTCATTTTTTTTTTTTGTAAATTGCGTTTGACATCACAATTTCATGCTGATAATCAGGCTGGCCTTTTCTGCCTAGATAGTTTCTTTTGTACCAGTTTTGAGCACCAGATAGGTGTTGTTTCTTTTCCGGGTAAAAGAGCATATATAACTTGAATACTGAGTAGCGAAAGTCAATAGTGGTGTAATATTTATCAGATACAATCTTCACAACTGCAGGATGATGTTACTATGGATAATGAGGCGCTGCACCATAGTTTTAAACGACATATAAAATGTTTCCAGATAACTCATAGATAGTAACTGATTTTTCGTGACGCAATTTCTTCAAGCGACCTCGCGTATTTCTTAAAACTCGTTCCTGTGTATTGTTCACTAACTGAAGTATGCGAAGCCGCTAAGCTGTGGGTTTTAACACGGAAATGGCACTGAATTTAAGCCCGGTTCGAACTTACGTGACGTTGTAAAAAGCGTTTAAAAAGACTAAACGATGCTTCCTTCGGTAAATGTTCCGAAAATTTTTCTAGGTGCGCGCCTTGAACATTCGCGTTTGTAACGAAATCCAAGGTTGTCTCATTTTGACTATTCGAGCCCAAAACAAACCGATATTCCTGCTCCATCGCCGTGTCTGCCTAGCCTTCGTTGAAATCCAATAGGACTTCAACACTCAAATGAATTTTTCTACTTCATGATTCCATGACTCTTCGATGCCGGAATAGTGAAAAGAGGGCATCGGCCCTTGCAAAGATCATCTTACAGCCAATTTTATTAATTAACCGTTTCACTAAGTTGATTCTATGATTGACAACACACGATGCTATAACAAGATCTTCATAATAATAGCACCTTTACGCGTCCTTATTAGAAGCGGTCTAACCTATAACTTTGCACGAAATTCAATTTTCGTTCACTTTATCTTCTTTTTTCACATAAGAAACAACGGACAAGCCAAAATATTAAGCTGATAATAAACACGACTTAGTCTAGCCCGAGTGGCTAACATCCGCGAAGTGGAACAGGTACCAGTTATATGCGTACAATAGGTTTCCTCACAGTCCCAACTTTCCGAAGTTAACTTATGTTGACTCTTTTAGCACTAGCCGGCCGCCAGGAACAGGCGGCATCATAGAACAGAACTCTTTGCTGTAGCGTTATGGCCGCACGCTTTTTTTCGTGGTATAGATCTCCAATAGGAATACCTCACCTAGCTGGTTCATAATTCCTGCCTTAAGTCGCCTTGAAAGTGTAAAATGTCTCCTGAACAGCCGGATTTAAGCGAGGTATTAACTTGGAGATTAGAAGTTGCTTGAATGCCAGACAACCTTAGTTAACTTACTTCTGGGGCGGAGAAAAACGGAACGTTTACAACAAGGCATCGTCGCCTAATCTATATTCCGCATTACGCTGTAGTTAAACGTGGCTACCTATAGATAAACATGAGTCCCGCCCGTGCCATACTAGTATTTCTCGATCCGAGAGAAACCTCTTGCTTTGTCCAGAACACACCTACATATATATCTACCTGATCAACAACTGTAATATTGCATAAACTCAAAAAGTTCCTGGCAGTAAGCTTAGTCCCCAACAAACGGCGAGTCTAAATATCTAAACATTCTATGATGTCAACTCGTTCATTTCAAATGAAATACGCAAATAAAGCAAAGACGCGCATATGTTTATCGAAAATTTCCTCCGGCTGTTCAGCTGGTGTCTTATATAAACGAACGCGTCGAATGCCGCCGTAAACCACAAAGCACACAAGTTCAGAAACTTTCGATACTTATCTTCCATAGTATTTATCATGCTAAATACCTCCTAATATAGACGGACTCTACAGAAATCCTTATGTCTGCAGCTAATTTCAGTGTATCTTCAGCTCGGATCATAGGCAGTACGACAATACCAGGTGAACATTGGTGTTCCCTAGTGCATATAAATGGTATATAGTGTTTTTTCAAGTACTCTGTAGAGGCAATTAGCCTGTACACACACCCACGTTTTATTTGCAGCTCGTCATGTATTATTGAATACAACTTAGAACTTAATGATATATAATGCTGCTTTCAAGCATGAGAGTACTTTATCAGTGAATTTACCGTTTACTAGACCAACGCGATTGATCTGCCCACCTCGATTCAATCAGAACACGGGATATCCTACTAGACTACGATAGTATAATTTTAATAAGCTACAACGACAGTAAAATGTAGCTGCTAAAAGTCCAGAATGGCAGCCATTGTAAGTTAATGACGCATAAAGGGGCCAAAAATTCAAGCAAAGTTCACACCACCGTGCAGCACGTGTAGACGAGTTGGCGATTTTTCCGATGCTTAACTTGTAGCCAAAACATGTACACTACCCAATGATGTTCTACTACTTACACTATCGATCCTGTCTTGAAGTAGGTGACACTTCTTTAAACCTTTTTGCTTTTAAGCTTCTTCTGCCTAAAAAGAAGGTTTGACGGAGCTCTAACTAGGTCCAGTTTTACAGCTCCGGTAAATTGACTAGGATATTAAAGTATCAGGCCAATGTTAAATGGAGCCACTAGTTAATCGGAAATTAAATAAGTGTTTTTAAACTTTTGGAAAAATCCTCCGATTAATACATAAGGCAATTTTATATAACGTAACTACTGCGCACGGGCTATGTGTGCGTCACATCGCACTTCTTACACGCCAGGATATCTTTCAGGGGTTAAGTGGGGAAAGTTTGCATTGGGGGTTCTACCCCATTGGTTCGATCTCGTGCTTTTGATGTGTTATCCTTTGAAATGTTAGCCACTAAAGGTTTCGAAATGTTGATGGAAGATATTAGCTTGGGAACGCAAGAGTTTGGCAGGGTCTCCTATTGCAGGACGGTCTACGCCAACCATCAAATGTTTTACTGCGTTTTGAATTGATGCAAAGCAAATCATCTTCCTTAATAAGTACTAGTACTTCATTTACAACCAGTGGTTACGCTAATGATCAGTATAAATGATTTATTAGTTAGTTTCGGTCAATACTGAGTTACCTATTTCTAAGTGAAGCCTAAGATTATTTGCGTGACTTTACTGTACCGGTGAAAATTGTCAGATGCTGTTTCAATAAATTAAACGCGGTCTAATTATACCGAAAAATATAAATTATATATATAAAATGGCTTTTGATTACAACCGCATAAACTGTGCCACCTACATAGATTTTACTTATTGATTGAGTGGTAGCAGTTAATAAAATCTAGCAGGTAGCCAAATTTTCATATTACATAAATTAATTTTATTATTAACCTTTTATATACACATGTACATGGACCTATCCTAACTGTGGCTCATTTATTAGACAGTGTCATTAGTTACCAATAGTCAATGCCGTAAATCCGTGAGATACGGGAAACTGAGCGACAGTGAGGATCTACTCAGACGTAATTCTTCGGAATGGTTCCAGGCGACGCTACATCCCTTAGTAGCGTCATCTCGAAAATCTCACACCAGTCGTTGATGTATCCTGAGCTCCTGCTATTACAATTCTCCGGACAGCTTGGTTGAATGATGAAATGAATCTAGAGGATCAGTAAGACATATAATGGTACTTTGCAAACGAAAAAGGCTATGGCACGGAAAGTAGCGGGAACGCTAAGGGCTTTGATTGGCATTGGGTTCTTGGTTAGCAATTGTTTTGTTGAAGTGTCCGAAGCGCCATTTTTGTCGGTTGTTGTCCTCGTCGCAAAACCGCATCAAAAGTTTGTCCTTTGCGAGCGACATTTCTAAGCATTTGCGACTACTTCCATGTTGAAGTAAATTTGTCTGAAAAAGGAGGAAAATACGAAATTGTCTATAGTACTGAAGTCCGAAAGTTTTTTGATTTGCAAGTCTGAACAAATGCATAATGATACACTTTGTTTGAATGAAAACGTTTATAGTAAATGAAAAGATGACTGACTCACTAAAATATACAAACAACAGATGACTTAGCCAAGAAAAAGATCATAGGTCTATAGGTAGGATTTTATAAATTATGAATTCAACTTACAACAAATTATTAGGTAAATGGAAAATGCGTCAAGAGTTAAACAGACTTATTAAATTTTGCAGTAGGGAATACAGTATCTCTCGTTTACGCGTCCAGCGGGTCATATAAAACATAATATATAGACAGCTAAACTGTCACATTGTTGTTGAACGGTGTTCCTCTGCGCACATACTCTGACGCTACAGAGATGTCGTTAGAAACTAACTTATATTACAGGTGTTTAAACTTTTCCATTACCAAACACGGTCCTGATATTCGTTCGTCACTGCACGTAGTGACCGTAATGGACAGCTGCATGCAATGCGGCTTCTAAGTCATTCAGGAAGGAAAATTAACACAAATAAATCATACGTTCTTGAAATCGACTGCACCAGAAGTAAGGCATATAGGGGATGTTATGCAGGAGCACAAGGCGATGACGACACTGCGCTGTTAAATAGTAATGTCTTATAATGCTATAGGGTAAGCAACTTCTTATCAATGACAAAGCCTTCACGAGAGAAACAACCAGCAGCCAACTAGCTCACCATCGCTACGATATATGCTGCCGCGTCTATTCCTTTTGTCAGAGTTCCGCAAGGGAGTCGTAGCTCTAGTCAAGTCGAAGCAGTGCTTCGCGAGAAGACACGCTTGGCACCGTCGGTGCATGAAAAGCGTGACAAATGTGCATAGCTCGAACACGGGCCCTTGAAGATCCCTTATTAAAACGAACAACGGCATCACATGAACAGCCTCCATTGCGTAACGCTTCGTATTGGATAAATCTAAAGGAGAAATTCAATATTTGCTCAACTACAAGAGCCTTCTTGTGTACTCCAGGGGTAGCTGAGACACTCTTTATGGTGGGTCTGTTAAAAATTTCGTTTATTAGAAAAATTGTAATTCGCCCATTTTTCTTGGTATTGAGTTCAGTAATTTTAATCTGGGAGCGAAAATCACTTAATGCAGTATCTGTACGACCGGTAAGGTTCGAGTTCAAATTTTTTTGGCCGATTTTGCGCGGAAAATGGGATTCCTGAGGCGCCAATGGCAAACGCTGGTAGCGCCGACGTTCTAACAAACCTTTCTTCTTAGTTTTAAGGAAATTCAATTTTCTATGCTGCACTTGACATATCGAATACTGTCTCCCAGCTACCCCACGTGGGTAAGCGTGAAACAAGAGCGGATAAGAGCGAAAAACAAATAATACCGAACCCTACTGTAAAATTGCACTAAGTGTAAATAAGAAGATACCCCTATGATACCCCCAAAAGGTTGTAGGTAATAGTGAGACTAACGGTGGCGGTATTTGTCGGTAGGTGCTTTATTCATGTTGATCCAAAGAAATAACTGCCCATATTTGAACATCTTTTATGGAAGGGTTCCTAGTAACTAAATAAATCTGAATCCGTTCGAAACGTTTCATGGCTCTACATACTTTGATCGCAAAAGAAGCCAAGACTACATTAGGATAACGGAAAATTCAGTTAGCTTATCAATATGGCAAACGGTCAGTCGGAATACACGTTAGTCATGCGCATGCCCTCAGTATGATACGCACCTCGTATTGGTACACCCAATATTGATTTCCTTTTGAGCCGTGACACGGATAAAGTATAACATCCGTCCCTGCAAAATCAAGACATGCTTCATCCCGTCTGATTTCGCCATTTTTCGAGAATAACCAGTACTGGTTACCTCCCTGGTTGTGACAGGGGTACAGCCCCACGGGCTTATGCATTGCGTCTTTGCCGGCGGGGCTGTAATCATCAAACAAGAAAAACAAATTCATATAGTTCGTATGGCGAATATTTACAGTTAAGTGGATAAGCAGAATTTTGAGTTATGAAAAAGATGTTTCTATCATAATATCGTACTATTGTGGGGAACATCTCTACTATTATCGTTCCTGATTTATCAATTAGGCAATATAAATATTAAGGATATATCTCGAAAGAGTTACCAGATCCGAAACAAATATTGGACTTTAGATTTTAGAATTATACTTGCATATTATATTGCCACTATACAGGGTGTTTTAAAATTGCGTGAGCTTTAATTAACCATTTGCCGTAGCGAGCATGCGCTCGTGTGCTATACCTGCTGGTGGAAAAAAAAACCTGGAATAAAACAATAAGTTCATTATGGTGAAGTACGGTACGTCGTTTTTGAAACAGTAGTAGTAACGATCGACTATTGCTAGTCAATATATTGAGACAGAACGAAGTCCAGCTGTTCTGCCGAGGTCCGATTGCAGTTCGGGAGAAGTTGACGGCTTACGTTATTGTTGCCAGTCTTCACACGGCGTTTGAAAAATCTGAGGAAAATTTCTCTAGGGTCATCCTCAATAGAGTTTAGATTTAAAGGGCATGAAAGTTCATCGAGATGGCTTGAAAAGTCATTTTTAATGCACCGACAAACGACTGTATACATAAAGTAAACAGCCGCCTTAAAAAGCAAGATAGCCATTATCAACTGTGCTTTCTGGCATTGATTGCGCTTATTGACCGTTTCGAGCCCTTGTATTTTTGAGACCTTTGGCTTGAAAATTTAGACAGGCTAAAATTTATTGATATGTAGTGTATTCGATCGCCACGTTAGCTGGTTTACATTTTTACCAATAGCAGCTTGGTGCATGATTTTTATTTGCGGATAAAAACGAATATTTTAAGGTTAACTTATATGTGATTTTGCAGTCGCAGTGAAAAGTGCTTGTTTTAAATAAACATGATTATCGAAAATTTTTAGCGCATGCAAACAAAAATCGTTGAAATATTTGCTTTGCTTAAATAGGTCCTAAGAAAATCTAGTTTTAGATGCTCTACCTTGCGCTTATCTGCTCGCCATACAGGAACAAGCATTTCCGCTTCTTTAGCTCTTTTAGTCGGTACAACCGTATCTCTTTTTTTTTTTTTTACCTCGAACACCGATACGTCGAGGACCTCCGTGCAGCCTTGATCAATCAATAAAAGAACGTATTCACACACACCCCGCATACCCTAGTGTACAATCAATAGTAGCAACACAGGGTTCCACCGTAATGAAAGTTACGACAAAGTTCACTCTGGAAAATGATGGAACGCTCATCACTGATATTTGCGCCTTGATGCTTCCTTTTCTCCCCGAATCGTGCCGACGGCGGATCGAAAATATAGCCCGATCCGACGTGTGCGCACATGCACAACATGATCAGCACAGATCCATGGGCGAAGTCTATGATTATCTAGTCGCTTATGTTATTTTGTTGTTCCCATCTGCTGCTCTCCGTATCAATGTAGCTACTTGCTCTGCTGATGCCGCTTACATTGTATCTTTTCATTGAAACTGTCCGATCTTTCTGCATCCTAGAGCAGGTTTTTTGCTTTCTCTATGACTCTGACACAATCTTACGCTTCTGCCTTTCTATCGCCGAGACGTTTCCGGCGTCTCTGTGCCGTAAGCTCCTACGTACACTAATGAATACTATACACAATACCCTGCAAAATAGGTGTAACATATATAACGCTTCGTAAAAATGCCACACTCTTTTTTGAACGCCTGGTGTTATGTAAGCCGATCACCTTAAATCCAGTTCGCCTAATTATGTTTCAAAGGAAAATTAGGGATTAGAATAAAAAAGGAAAAACACGCGCAGATCATAGCGGGTTAATGAAACACGGTATCCATAATGACTGATTGTACTAGTTTGCTTCATCGCTCTTTTTGAGAGCGCTTCAGATATTTGCCTCTACATTTCTAGTCTTGATATGCTTCTACTCTAAAATTGTTTTAAAAATCACGGTTTTAGTTATTCGGAGAAGCGGGACGCCGTCAACATTTCGGGTTCTTATCTCCCACCGCTCGGACGGCAAATCGTTGTTGCAATGTTTCTCCTCCTGGAGATCCGATGCTGCTATCATAGCAGATTATTACTGCGATCTTGGGATCTTCATACGTGGGTTAGCCGAACCTCTGCAAGTCTAGCGTCATTCAAAACCTTTGATAAGTCCGAGTTCGTACACAGAGGTCTCTCGTCGCCAGCCGAACAAGCAGGAAAGCAACGAAGCGTAAAACGAATAAAAGATCTAATCTGTTTTATCAAAATATAGCTTTCCTATTTCTATAAATCTCATGCCTGAAAGGAAACTTTGAAATCAGACTCTACTCTAAAACCTGTAAAATATCGTTCAAATGGTTACTTACAATTGCAATAAAAAGCTAGACGCTGACAGAACGCATATGATGCTACGAATATGTGGAGTGGTCCCGCGACAGCTACGTGAATAACGTATTTGCCTGCTTATAACGTCATGGTTTAGGTTTAGATTTGAGCAGAAACATATGTTTCACTTCGTATCGGGAGCCGTCTGTCTGATAGAATGCCTAACAGCGACACCGGACGGAAAATTCGAAACAAAGAGGGACCCCAATAGCAGTTACTACCAACTTATATTAAAAAACAGTTATCCACAATGCGCACGATACATTGCTTTGAACGGGCAAATAACACAGAAATGATTAGGCGGCTTTTGAATATGCTGTCACGTCGGTTGGCACGAGCGATGCTATCTTTTATGCAGAACTTCATGTCTATAAAACACACGCTATAAAACAGGAGTGCCTATGCACCCGATCGTACCAACACCTACCACACATATTTTCCATTTGTATCTCTTTGCAGTTTCGCCAAGAAACTATGTGGAACAATGCCATATCATGCCACAAAAAGAGGAAACTCAATGCCATAAACGTCACTATAAACGGATAGTCCCTATCTGAGTAAGGAACGAATGAAAAGTATCAGGTAGACCGGACCGTCGCGGGTTGAACTGGAGAACGCGGACGTTCATCCCTTTGTGCTATACACCCATTTTCCAGCGGAGCAACGTCCTGATTAAGTTGCTGCCTAGGTGCCTCTGTACATGAGGCAAGTTACAGCACTGCTTGCGTTGGAAAACTAGCGCAATTTAAATGATGGGGAGATCTGCCCGATGACCAAAATATATACTGCAAACGCTATAACTGACCAAAGATGCATTAAAAATTATGCCTATTGTAAAACAGAACGTGTGTAGAATCTTCGAAACGTCTAGTTGCTGGTGGAGGCGCAACGGTGCAATCGTTGATATCTCGTTTTATGACGAGAATCAGGCCAATCTCATTGACGAAACCCATAAACGAGTAGCCACTTTGACTCGTGCCGTGTCTGCATGGAACCTTTTCAGAACCGAGAAGCGGAGGACCTTGTGTTGGTGGGAGACCACGAAATATTTTTCTACAATTAGGAACATCATTCGCGTAAATATATGTGACAACGAAGAGCCGAACAAATGTATCGTCTTCAGGCGTTTTCCACTAGCCTCTTAAAAAGGCCTAGTTAATCATGGGTAGTGCTATATGATTAGTTGTCTACGAATCGTTACCAGGAAAAGCCGACGCGTAGCCGATCCGATACGTTGAAGTGGTTTCCATGTCCGCGAAACTGACGACGACTCTATGAAGTATGCATTTTTAAGGATAGTCGGTTCAAACTTGGCTTATTCATTTTATCTGTATCTCTTGTATTTATATTAAGGTACTGGCAAGAAAATAGTAAAAATGCATTATAATAAAAAGCAAAAATAAGGCCGCTCGAGCAACTGGATCCCTGTTCGGATTGAGCTGTCTATACATACTAGATTAAAAGGTGTCTATGGTTACGCAAAGCGTTATCGCTAACATCGAAAAACACAATGAATATAACAGAAAGATAGCTATATAGTTACATAAAACATACTAGATATGTGCCGGTAGGTAAGGTAAAATCTTGAATAACTATGCGATCTGGCGTAGATATTACTAAGCACGTGCTTACAATTGATCGGAATTACACAAGTTCACGTTTTTCTTACTGCGAACTAAATTTATTTATACTAAAAGATTAACTTTCTATCTAGTATATCACTTAATCGCGAAATGTAAATAGCTACACGGTTCAAGATGAACCTTGTGTGTATTTAGAACACCAGTTTTGCGCTGTTATTATGAAAATTCGCAAGAAAATAAGCTTAACGAACTGAGAGAAAACGGAGATAACAAGAGCGAGGTTGCTGGCCTATCTGATCAAATTAAATAGATTTTATCTACCTGTCAATGCACATCCCGCCGGTGCCGAGGTTCCGTATCTCACCGGATGCAACGGCATCTCCAGGAACAAACAGTTCTGGGTAGATGGTGCGAACAAACCACGAGAATGGTTTACAGTCAAGTCCTTTTCGCAGAGCGACTCGTTCACTTATGTCACCGTAATCTCCCTATTAGAGACCAATACAAAAGACAAATATATGTTTTCGTTCTTGTTAGCTTACTAATAACTAATAAGAACCAGACAACGTTCGGGTTAAGATTGTGAAGCTAAAAAAACGTTCTATTCTCGAACCAGAACAATGCAAATGAACAGAGGAAACCATCTCGGAAATCTCAAACTTTCGACAAATAGTTCAGACCTCTGCATCTGGGTAAACAACCCAGTTAGGGGAAGCCCCGCCCACTGATTCGGTCGGTGGCTCCAGCAACTCCCTCCCTGCCATTCTGTAGTACAAATAAAATCCTAGATGGATAATATAAGGGGAGCTGGGGATTAGAGTATAGGAATCTTAGCAGAAGCAAACTCAACCGTCGGGGTCTATCGCCTCACTTGGCCTACATGAACGAGCTTGTATTTTAGTGATGTTCGATCGTACGTTAACTGTATTTCCCAAATTTTCAACAAAAAAAAAAAGAAAAAAATCCTTGCCCAGTAGAGCTCCACAGCTGCTAGTACACCCCTCACTGAAACACGCGTTGCTAATTTAACTTTCAATTTAATGTACACAAATAATGTATTAGCAATAATTAGCATAGGTCTGAGTGGCTTTTTCGGCATATCAATAACAATAAGGAGTTTTGCTATTGCAGGTCCGGATGATTTGACCAAATCTCGTGTTCTTCATTCTGCTAGCCAAGTATTGCGCAATGTGCGATTTATGTTAACATTAATCATACGAACATCTATATGATGGGGTGAACTTTTCCTACTTTTGGTAACCTATTTTTGGCTCGAGCGCAAAGATTACGTAAACATAGGATAAATAAGTGCTTCTCTCTAGGTTAGCAATCCATACTGAAGTTAGCTGCGTCCAGACTACTATGGGAAAAGCATGCATCGACGTTACATCGGTTGCGGCCTTTAAAGACTAAGCAACTTCCCATTTGCAGAATTCGTGAGGGCATCATCTGCAAGGCTAAGCTTAACAGGAGCCAAATTCGCCTCAGATGGTCATCATCATCATCGTCGCTAGAAACTTTATTGATGGACGGCTGTTTGAACCTCGTTCTTCTTCGAAGAAGCTATGAATCTTCTCCGTTGGTACCCGTTAGTAGCAGTAGTAGTAGTGATGCGGTACGCCAGGGCTTTGGGTAGTAAAGTAGGAGCGCTTACTGTTATTTGCAAAAAAACAACTAGCAGTCATGAATTCGGGCCTGGTGACATCCACACGTTGACCTCATCGATTGCCAGCCAGTCTGCACCCAATGGTGGAACTGAATCACAATTCGGTAAATCATCGGTGGTTGTCCTACATGTTCAAGCTTAAGCATGAAAAAACATATCAAGCTCAACGTGAGTACTGCCTAACATCCTCTATATTCCCCGCTGAGAAATAACTGTATTGATATTTCGCCGGATCGTCTATTTGGAAATGAAATTAGCAGTGGAAGTTCAGTAATCCTTTGGGAAAACTCAAACCGTAGATTGTTAGAAGCCAACGCATTTATTATATTGAGCATCAGAATATACGCGTTGGTTGGCGCATACCTGCTTTGGGCAAGCTTTAAAAAAGCTTATTTACGGTGCACATTCTTGTTACTTCAATGTTCGTTACTGTAATTTACTTTTTTTTTTCATCAAATGCCGTCATAACGTTGCCGAAAGATGTATTAATATACATACATACATATAAAGCCAATGTGTATTAACTTGCCAATGTGTATGAACGCTGCTGAATAATTTCGCAAAGTTTGTTATTGCTAGTAAATTCGGCAACAACTTAGATTCATTCGAACTTAATCCTAATATTATCAATCAATACGGGTACATGATTCTACCTACCAAGTCATTGCCAATACGATCGAAGTAGTACTTGGCGAAATCGTCCAACCAAACCTTCGCCAGACGGACTGAGTTCCTTTTCAAAACGTTTACTCCCGAACGCCACTTGTACGGTGACCTTTTGCGGAAGATATGGCCTACATGCGAACAAGGAATTATCTCTAAACGACCGCCGCACATCCAGGTCTGCGAACGTCCCAAACCAGATCGAGTAAGAAATAATTGTTACTGATTTTTCAAAATCATCTGTTTACACATCGATATAGTATGTATGTATGACTGTACAATGTAATAGTTTCATAGTAAAAAGGTAGGATTCGTAGAATTACTGTAGAAAGAAATAATGCTAGCTTTAATATTCCTTACCAGTGAATCGTGTGAAAAAAAGTTAACTTTTTTCATCTTTATTGTATGATAGAAATGATCTAATAGGAAATGATCTAGTAGTACACTCTCGTGGTCAAGTAGATTTTGTATATTTTGCCAATCATCCCAAATCAATTCTGTATTTAGAAAAGTCTCCCTATTTAGCTACAAATGCCACAGTGAACTGGTCAGAAAAAGCAAAGATTGCGAATGAATCTAAAATGAATCCGCTTCCACTTGTCGGCATGACGTTACCTATTAGTAAAACAGATTTGGGAAAAGTAGGTAGAGCTAGATTAAATTTAAATATATTTAGAGCAACCAGCTACAAAGGAACTAATTTAAAAACGGGCATGACTAATTTACCTTGAAGGATAGCTCGAGGTTTTCGCCTCCCCAGATATCAAAACCGGAGTCGTAAGTTCCGAGCTTTCGAAAAAAGTTAGCGTCGATTGAGAAAAGACCCCCCGCCATCGTTGGACTTTCAACAGGCATCCATTTCTTGTATCCAGCTTTCACTATTCTGGAATCACAATGACCAATTCCATTAGACAACATTTTTTTTGTTTGATTGAGCGTATTTCCTAATACACACACACACACACACACACACATACTTGATAATGTATCAGACAGAGAATACGCTGTAGTCTAAATAGATATATTGCAATACAATAACGCATTTACTATAGATAGCGTATATTCCAGTAAGTCAACGAACAGCAGGATCATTCAGGACATAAGTCTACCTCGTTCAAAAGGATAAGAACCAATAAACGCCAATCTGTCAATTAACTTTCATAGATCAAGTTTAACTCACGGTGGGCCCAACTTCCTATCGGCAAGTGTCCGCCAACTCAAACGAACTCAATTAATATGCCATTAAACTGCTAATTAACTACACTGACTATCCCCAAAAGTGATCATGGTATCCTTGACGGACATGAATGCGTGCGCGCTGTCTATCACCGATTATCGTCCTGTCCTCAGCGACGTGGCTTTTCTAAGATATTCCGCGACCACTTGCTATTTCGGCGCAATCAATACGTTCAAAAATCTCCTCTTCACTGAACGAGAACGATGACGATAATAAAAAAAACATCGTTTTATTCGTAAAGCGTTCTTCGTTACTACTAAATTTAGAATATTTAAACTATACGCCGTGCCATTTTACTGAACGTACGTTGTGTTTTGTGCAATAAGGATTGCAAACGAGATAAATATTAAAATCGACAATTTATTGGGTCTATTTTCGGTTACGAAATATACATACCTTACGCCAGAGTGACACACACACACATACACACACACACACACACCGGCATGTACGCAAAAATGTAAATAGCAAGCTTGACCAGTGTATTCCCTGTAACTATCGATCTGCTTCCGATTTTTCAATACACAATTTCGCTCACCGATCTGGAATAGAATGCCACGAGAATTGAAGGCTCCAATCAAATCCTCCTACGTTTACTTCGGCACTTTCCTTCACATTGTACTCGAGCGTCTCATCATTTATTACATCGATGACAGGACAGACGACCGTTGTCGGGTCACGTGCAATCCGATCCAATAGCGGCTCCAGCCAGCCTTAGGAGGAAAAAAGTGATCGATCACGTTTTTTACAATCATGCACAACAACCATTCGAATAGGCCATAGTGGGTCCTTGTACAGCGCAAAAATCTAAACCGAGACGAGCCAGACAAAATACCTTCAGAATTACGTAATTCTGACGTGCATATAATTAGCTTGCTCAATCTTAGGTAAATCAGCCGCGCAATGCAAGATCAATGTACTCCGTGCAAATATCCAATAATTATATTAAACGTTGAAAAACACTTACAAAGCCAAGCATTTCAGAATTATTATAACGTATATTTAGGTAGGACTATTTGAACAAAATTCAACAGTTGTTGTCATATTTACTGTATTTCATTAATGCTGAGTGGCAATAGTTCATCCACCTAAGAAACAATACCATAACGCAAGACACTACTTAGAAAATCGCATGTTCAGAACGTGGAAGTACCAATAAAACAAACTACTTTTCAGAAGACTATTTATATGCGAAAATTTAAGCAAATTTGTTTTAATTTTTAAATAAAATTACTAGACTCAGTATGCCTCATTTGATCGATGAGGTCCTTCCGTTTTCCTGGTAACACCGTAGGCCTAATACCGTAATCCTTCTAAGATTTTTTTGACAGAAATTGAGACAGGTGATTTCTACGTTTTTTTTTTTTCATTCAAGCACTATTGTTTTACAGGGACTAAAACAGATGATGGTTTGATAGTTCAGGATTCGGGGGATGCATGAAGATTTGCCATCTGAGGCCTTTCAGTCTTTGCCGGCCAGCTAAAGATGCATGTAGCCTGGCGCTGTTACGGCAGAGGACGACACCTTTTCTGTTCACTAGTACCGATCGAACGTTTTCAGCTGCCTGTTGTAACTATGCCAATTGCTAATAGTGGAGGTCTGAGTCAATCATGTTGCCAGGCGGCAGCATATAGCATCATTTTTCTTAGCGTACGTTCGAGATCGTGGAGCATATTAATCAATTTTTTGTCTTTCGTAATCGACCGCATTGCCTCGATTTCGCACTTCCATAGAGGTTCACAGATAGAAATAAGATTGAGGTAACTCTATTCGCGTGGTATTTAAGCACCGAGCTCTTTGTAACCAACCTTCTCAAACTATTAGATAACGCTTGGAGATATTTAGTTTCTTGGCGATATGATGGCTACCGCTGCTAGGTAGAAATCTTGTTGAACCCTCCCTTTTATGAACTTTATCTACTTTTACCGTAACTAGACATTTTGAGAAAGAAAACGACAGGACCGTCTTTGGGGATTTTTTCCAATTATAAACGGCAGAAGTTTTCTGTGCGTCTGTACAGCATTTGTGAGAAAAACATAAATAGTAGTGAATCTTCAAGGCGCTCAATCTCAAGACGGACAAAAACGCTCGAACGATACTCCATAATTTAAATTGTGACTTGGAAGTTGTCTAGCTAGAAAAACATACAATGAATTAATGCGCTGTTACCAGTGAATTAGGCGGGATTTAAAATTGAATAACTTTTGAACTAGTTAAATTCGAATAACTTTTTTAGTATGAATTAGGGATATTTTTTATTTTTCACAGTTATTCTAGCGCCAAGTGTGTGTGAAAGTTGTATTTTTTTTTTTGTAGGATTAATTGTAAACATTGTTTAAGAATTCTAAGATTCTCTAAGAAAGTCTAACTATATGTGTTTCAATGACGTAAGTACTCTGCTTCTCGAACAATAAAGAGACCCTTTGCGTCGCCACTGTCGAACAACGAGCATTCCATTACTTTGGAAAGCTGTAAACCAGCCCCTATTTTATTACACCAATCGAAACGTGGCTAGAGTGGCTAAAGATTGTGTGTGTAGGAAGATATATTTACAATACTAAATGTTAATCATTTACTGGATTCGGGATAATGGGAACGCATTTCTATACAGTGGACTCCGTTAGGCTCAATTTACGTAGTGAACAACTGACAGACGTTGCGTGCTCACTCCTCATGAATGAGTATCATTTGCGACGGTCGTCCGTAAAGCGCACATGTTGCAGACAACTTTTGTGTACTTATGATATAATCCTAAGACTTACTCAGCTATTTGACATCTGATTGCGAGTTCCGATTCAGGCAACCTTGTCAGTCCTATCCCTTAAAACGTACCGCTACATCTGAGATTTAAAGGCTGTTTCCTGTGCTAAAATGAGCAAAAAAAAAGACAGGTCTCGAGACTTAGCCGTAGACGATGTCGAACGAAAGTCTTGCAAATTAATAATACCAATAGTTTTTAAGGCAAGTTAGGCTAGAATGTTTTACGATAATATTCGCTAGAGGTACATCTTTTCCCGCGCTCTGGCAGCCCCTGCTCGGCCATATAACTATTATTAGAGCCCCATATGCTATTTATTTACGACTTTTCGTAGTAATCTAACGGTGGAATATGTCTACCCACTAGTTACCCTTTTTAGAGCATAGAAAGCCCCTGTAGTCACGCGGATTTCTATCGGGAGAATAAACGGGCTGAAGCCGACATTGTATATTCCTTTGCTTAATTGAGCAGGTTAACAAAAAATAGCGACGAGCTCTGGCGTTTTCATCAACTAACGAGACTGCATGTTTTCGATTGCTGTGCTATCGGTTTATGAGTCCCTTGGGGTATTTGAGATAGCGGGCTGCATAACAGAAGATGCCCCTCTGTCCATTGCAAGTACTGGCATCACCTTGCGTCCGAATTTTCTCGTCATTAAACCACTTTTGCCCTAAAACGATGCTTTCGTGTCAGCCTGGTCTTTTTGCAGCAGTCAGTAGAAATAGAACAACATCGATGACCAAAGGCTCCGGAAAAGTTTTTCTCAAGTTCCGAAAATTGTACGCATTACCACACTCATTTAACTGGCCTGAGGTAAGTACGCGAGGAAACGCTATTCAATAATTCGGTTATAATTCTGTAACACGTTACATATCAGTTAGGTGCGAGTTGTAACTAATAAAGCCCTTAGATTCCGAGCTCTGCTTTCGTAATAAGCCTACTCGGCAGTGCCCATGCATTCTTGTTTTTAAAAATTGACACCTGGTTAACCCCTTGCTAGTTTTCAGCACTTCAATCTCCGTGCCTGAAACGTTTGCGCCATTTATGTACTGTACTTTCGTCTAACGTCTTCACCAATCTTCAGTAAACCTCCGCAAAGTTGTTGCCTTCGAGAAAAAGTTTGGTCACTGAGAATTACTTTTTGAAACAAAATTCTTTATCTTTTTCAACTAATTTCTCGTGGAGTAAATTTGACCGGTTTTTAATCACAGGTCTGTAGAAAATTAATGTATTTATTGGTCACATTTTGCCCACTAGGGCGTAATTCAAAGGTCACAACCTCGATATCCGCCGAATTCACTTGTAATTTTGCCATAATATGTTGTCGCTAACAAAACCTATACTACAGACAGACACGATTACTAAAATTACAACCTACAAACATAACGTAACTTGGCTAGATAGATAATAGAATACTAACCGACCATTTACTACGTTTCAACATAGTTGGGAAAGTGGCTGGTTCTCAATTTCTATAATAACGTACTATTACTGCACTGGCTGACCCACTGCGACAACACGAGCAGTTTCTATTAGGGACAAAGGATGATCAAATCCAATATCCCAGCTAAGCTTCGTATGTTAAGCGCCTACGACACCGAGAGGCTGGATGTCACGAAGTTTTTACATCGGCTCCAGGTAGTGCAGGGCTTCGGGCATTCGCTAAATATATTTCGCCGGCTAGGCGACTACTATCTTTTGCCTTCAGCTTACGCTAACGGATAGCAATAAGTGATGATGATGGTCCAGTGCGCAAACGGCTAGCAAAGGCCGCGACGGTTCTCAATACGGGAACAACGGGGAATAATAGGAACATACGCCTACTCTATCAACATGGCATACACACACGCATACGGGCACATTGCCGGAAGCCTATGATATTTGTCGTTGGGTAACTAACTGTAACTGCACGACAAGGTCTGAAAGAATCTACTCACACGTAACGTTGCTTTAGCGGCCGATTCGGACAAATCCAGTCTATGACAGGCTTACCTTCGGTACACTCAACGTGCGAATCGAGGAACGTTAAAACTGGAGCTGTGGCCTTCTGTGCACCGAGCAGCCGTGCTCGAATTAGGCCTTCACGTTTTGTTGCTCGCACGATATGCACTTTCGGGTAATCGGCCATGTAGTCTTCCAAAGGTTTCTGTAAGTTAAGGCATGTCGTAGAGCAAACTTATTGAGTGTGTGATCTACTCAAAGATTGAATCGAATTTGATTTTTTCCAGAATTCATTAGTATCATGTTTGGATAGAAGCCTAGCTGATACCTACATGCACTTATGAAATTTTATAGCTTCGTAGGTCATCTTGGTTATAAAGTAAAATCAAGGTCTTTTTGAAATTTATAGGCAATCAACAATATCAATTTTCCGCTTTCCTCCACGTAGTTCCACTTGCACAATGAAAGTACAAGCGCGAACCTTTATATGTTCCATATCCGAAAAGTCGTCAACTAGGATGATTTCCTTGATCAGAGGCGACGGCGATCGGTCCAGAATCGAGTGCACAGTACGCAAAAGGACACTCCACGCCTCGTTGTGGAAGCACACAATTACTGAAGTAGCGGGCAGATCCTTGAGGTAGGCCATTGGCCGGCATTCGGGGTACCGCATATCAGGTAAGGAACGATGCACGGAAATTAGGTCCGACACATATGAGTTAAACGCATTTTGTTTCCAGCCTTGCTTCTCCTATTGAAACAATGCAGGAATCGTGTGCAGAATTAGCGCTATGCACTATGCAAACAAAATGCCAGATGTATATATACATTCTAAGCTCTAAGCAACGTAACCTTCATTGGAATGCTATTTAATGTGATTTTCTAGGCAGTAAAAGCTTTGCTGACAATAACTTGTTTAATGATTAAGATAGTGATGCTGCTTAAAGTAATTTTTTAACCGTAATCAAGCGGAATCATTCCATAGGAAATAAATACGAAGCGCGTTAACTTTAACTAAGAAAAATACTATAAACTCATCTTAAAATCATGTTGCATTAGAACGTTTATATACCCACTTACGCCTTATTGTGAAAGTGATAAATATCACAGATAAACTGTCGGCCATTAAATAGAGTAGAGTTCAAAGGTAATATAGATCTACAGGCTCGTAAAAGGTCACAGGGTGGAATAAACGATCACTGGCAAAGCAGGGACAATTTCAATAGGAATTCATTGTTCTAGTTGGAATCTAGACCAGAATCTAATTGGCGTTTGCTGAAACGGCGCAAACAACGGATTTACTGGCCCCTTCAAATAATGAGGGCCTTCACTCCTTTAGGGGTACTAGATAGGGCGCAGTAGGTAACCTAAGATTGGTTTTATTGTAATAAGACATGCTATTTGTGGTGTTCACTTTACGTATATCTAGCAAGCAATTTCTGAAATCAAAAAATTACCGTTTGCCACTTATTACGTAGTATGATACAATATTCTAAACTTCGAATCGTTCAGGCTGGCGTATGACGATCGAAGATCTCATACCATGATAGGAATAATGTTTAATACTGTCGTTTCTAAATAGTAAGCTTCATCATCAGGCGGTACCATTGGCGCGCTGTAACGTCAAGCGATCTGCCTTATCGCGATTTCCATAATGAGTCTGGAACGATTTGTATTCCCTTGAAAGTCGTAACGTTCAACGAGATTTCAAATCACGCGCCAAATCAGACACGAATTGTTAAAACGAAGCGTTACTGCCATTACTTCTATATGGAGTACAATGAAAATACGCGAAAAATTGCGCATGACAGGCCTAAATTATATTCATTCAAGAAATGGGCTAATAATAAATATGGATCATTACAAACTTCGATAGAGACTAGCCGGTCAAAAGAAATTACGTTATAGTTTGGCTAGGTATGATGAAAATCATTAACTTCAAGCTTCCGTTTGGCACTAGCGTTATCACTGTTTGGAATGGCGTCAGGGCGTACGAACGCATTTACGTGTACACATCTATAGAAAACAGAGTTACCAGGAAAATTATAATTGTATATTTGTATAGCTATTCACTATTCTTCTATATAGGCACGCACCGTCTTGTGCATGCCAACGTTATAATACTCGAAGTTTGCGAAAGGAAGAAAAACGCCGTTGTTCGTTCATAATACATTGCTATTCATACAAAATGGCCTTGTTAATATTACATGCTGTCGCAATGAACAGCATCTGTCATCGCTTATTGTCGTCATCGTTACCATCTCTACCAAATATGTACACCCATGTGTCCAAGGACGGTGTAACACAATGCACATTTGCCTATACTCGATCTCCTCATGGTGTTCTACCGACAAATGCTGCACAGAGCACTTACATCAGCGATTCCCTACCACCATCATAAGCAAATAGCGCTAATTTTATAGTTACAGTAACCCGCCAAACCATGACGACAAAAACAGCAACAGCACCAACCCGCAAGTCGACAACAGCGATGAAAGAAGAAAAGTGGCAGAAAACGCCGGCTCTTTTCATGACATTTGATATCGAATTATCCACAACGGGAAGATCCTGCACCGATGTCCACGCTGCCTCTCGAAGTCGCTGCCGCTAGACGACCGGTATCGGTAGCGCCAGCAGGAGTCAGAGAAAAGCGACGCCAACAGCGTATTCAAACTATACAATTCTTCTGCCTCACCCCTCCTAACCTTTCCTCCCCCGTCGTTCCCTTTCCGAAGTCGCCCCAGCCAACGATGATTTTTTACTCATAAATTTCTCCACCTCATCGAACAAAGGAACATGTCATTATGGACAAACGTGATCGTTGTTGGCGAGATACCGTCTACGGCGTCTGTGTGAATGGTTCATCGGTTGAGCTCAGCTGTGCTTTGCAACGGCCGGCCATCTGACCGTCTCGTAGTCGGCGTCGAAAAAGCGTCGGGCACTTGCGATAGTTTCGCTGCTGGCAGCAGTGGTATCGAACAGCGTGCTCCCGTTCGTGAAAGGCCCTTCAACTGTACGCTTATTTGGCCAAAGATCCAGAATCTACAATTACCTAGCTATGCCTACTTGCAATCCTACTGCCCGTCGTATTATGACAATGGCGCAATCATTAATCGTGGCAATTTCGTTGTACAAGAAGAGGAACTGTTCGCTTGTTCGATCAAGGCAGGCTTGCCGGTTATCGCGCATGAAAGGGTTCTCGTCGCACGAAACATGGCGCTTGTCAACCAGCCTGTTACGTTGCTGGCAATATGTCTTGCCGAAGCCAGTGAGACTGCTATAAATGTCGCGGCCATTGTAATGGCAACGATTGGCACCACACTACTATGACAACACATTTTTTATCGAAATTTTCTGGTTATTTTACAAAATGTAATCGTTCCTTTCAACAATACCTAAGCCTCGTACTAGGTAAGCGATCGGAAGGTTCAATAGCGGCAACACAAGGCTGCGAACAGAAATTCGTCTGCTTTATGAGGCTGTTAGTTATGACGTATCGTATTGATTATATACAATTTCAGAACCACTGCGCTTATTTCGATGGTTTTATTTACGAAGTGTTGGCTTACGATTACAGAAAAACAACACGACAAGTTTAGAAAGACAGATCTGTTACTAGAAAAAAAGTTTTAGGTTCTTTATATCCTCACAGCTTTTCTAGCATGTAAAGACTGCACTCCCCATTTAAAAGTGACATAACGATAAAACCGCCATTTAGAGCACTGGCGAAACGAATGCGCACCGTTGAAAAGTCAATCAAGTGAGGTTAACTTACACCCAGTCATACTTACTCCGTAAGACGCTGTGGGTATGGTAGATGCTCACAGAATGCTCCAGAACTTAAACTACCAAACTATGAATACCAAAAAAAAATGCCCCGTCTTATGTTGCCTAAAAATATTTGCACATCTATTTAGCTCTCTACGAGTAGTCTATATTTTGGATTGTTAAATTGGCAAATGATTCTTTGCTAATTTACATCAATTATTATGTTTATTTGAATTTAGCTTACTCTATGTCCTGTAGCGACCGCCAGTTGAAAAATTAATTCTTATATAAAAGTACCGACTGACAGTTCAAAGCAGGCCACGAATGGGCTCTAAAGCTTCCTAAATTTACACTGGAGTTTTTTCTTTTCCTAAGTCGTATCGCAATTTTCAGATGTACATAGGACAAAGTACACATGATTAAGGCTAAAATGATTTCAACACAAGAATGCATAGCTTTCCGGCTAATACTGGCATGGTCTTAAATGGCACGAACAATATTGGGTGACCTAATGTTTGCTGATTCTAAAAATCAGATACTATATTTGCTTTGGCTGGTGGACGTAACCCTGTCGTAAAAATAAGTAGTATACGAGAGATATGCTTGCTGACGCCCATACCTTAGCTTTTTCGACGGCTGTGAGGTCCTTTAACTTCACGGGCAGGCCCATTTCGCCGGGTCCGTTCGGGTTGCGTGATGGCGACTTCTTTCGCGACTGGTTAGCATCATCCAATTTGCTTCGGTCCTCTAAAGCCTCAAGTTCGTTGTCAGTGTCACCGTTTCGGCTATTCTGATTCGATACGTCCTCGTGCCAAGGCAACTTCTGCCGTAGCCTTCGATGGCCAACGAACGGCTGTCCTTTATCTGCCTCCTGAGAACCAAGAATCTTCTAATGGACTTCACTAAGAAAACCTTTAAGAGGAACTTGAAAATGAAAAATGACATTTCGTCCTCCGATTGACCGTTTACTATTCTTTTGTTTTTTTCTACGATTCTACTGAAACGTTATGCCTTCTATGCCAGCCTTTATGTTTTTTGTTTTACGTCCGGTATCACCGTCAAGCACTTCATCGGATGCGTGGTTGTCAGCGCAAAACGAGGCCTGTCTCTGACTGGGTTCGAACCTAGGCTACCAACGGCGAAGTGATAATAGTAATCTCAATACCGTTATAGCTCATACTAACTCCCAACGCGTATCTGTCTCACTTTAGAGGTTCGCTATCGAGCCTAGTATCTTATTAGGTATTGTATGTACTATCTGTTGTGTTGAGAAATTCATGCTTTGTCAGATAGCAGAGTGGAAATTTGTGGAAAAATCGAACCCAATAATTGGTTCCCTACGACATATACGAGGCAAAAATTGCCTCTAAGGTGTCATGTGCCGCAGGATGCAATCTTTCGTGTTACCAGAAGTCGACATTACCTTAACGTAAGAAAAATTCGACTCTAGTCCACTCGTAGTTCTAGTATAAAGAAAACGAAATAAGCCGAGTTTTCGTTAGTTCTTCGTGTGTTAATGATGTATTACATCGATTTTAGCTGAAATTAAATCAATATAAATTATTCATATTTTCTTTTGAGGTGTTTTTCTTTAGAAAAGATAAATATATATAGAGAGATGAAGCAAAAACCACATATCTCTATTGGGGCAGAAATTATGTATATTAATTCTGTAAATAGTTGAAGTTGTTTGCTATAAAAAGGACGTTATTGTAACGGCCGCCTAATATATATATTTTGGCATAGCGAAGAGCTTCATGTATGTGTGCTCTGACTAACAATGAAAAGTGCACTGTTTCTACATTGTTATCAATATTACATACATCTGCCTTAGGGCATCAGGTTTTCCTTGACCAGCATTTACTGACCATCCCATCATCCGAACCATTTCTGAACGAGGCTTTGTAATGAACGGTAGGTCAATGCTTCTCAGGGATTAATGCAGAGTATTTGCACCGGCTTTGTGACACTGTATATAACATATTACAATGGATGAATCATTGCATCGTATGAAAATTGTAATACGGTGTACGTACATGCGGATAAGTGAATACAGTAAACGTTTATAAGTACTACGTGTAATAGTAATTGTGTGCTATATATTTTATTCGCGGAACGTAAAAATGTGAGCAACAATCGAATCAAAGCAGACGGAAAAGCATTCGCTACGCTTCGCGCTATGAGACACTTCTTCAGAAAAATGAAGAAAACAGCCACTGGGTACTCGTAGTAATTATCCAGAATACTAGATACACTGTAAACAAGCAACCAGCATTAACAAAGACAGGGAAACCGCAAGAAATTAAGGTTTTCCTAACGAAACAGTCACAAAGCAGACTCGTACGTATGTTGGCGTATTTGTTTGAATCTTCATAACGGCTACCACTTTAGAACATCGCCCACCTCTGCACTACTCAGGCCAACATGGATCTCGTGTAAGCCAATTTAATTTGTTCCTACAATAACATATTTTGGCTTTGTTTCTACAGTTGTTTCTACGTTGTCTATATAAGTCACTGACGAGAAAATGTAGAGACTTTGATGTAAGTTAAATCGGATGAAAAACATACGTATAGAGTCAAATACCCGTTCCCCGCGGACCTATGGTTTATAGTAATAGTAACAGGCTACTTCGGGGAAATCCTCGTGCAAACTTACCACATGGGGCAGAAAGAGTTGAGGTAGCGCTGATGCCTCGAGAACTTCGGTGGCACGCGATTTGGACGAGAGAACAGCGAAGGCGAACGACGCCACCGTCCACGAGCCAAACAGAAGTACGAACCCCTTGAGGAGGAGGGTTCGACGCCGATTGGAGATCATGACGAACTGATCAATTTCGACGGAATCGCACCAAGGACGACGAGAATTTAGAGGCGCTGCTATTCACAGCTTTATGCGTCGCCTCTGCCAGAAAAGAAGACAAGATCCACAGTTGTCGCAAGGTTAGTTTTCTTTCCTTTCAAGTTGAATTGAAAAGATCCAGAACTCAAGTTCAATTCTGATTCTGGCTCTGAAGTGACACAAAGTAAGTGTTCTCGTACTGTGTAAGTAAGTGCGTCATGTAATAACATGAATTTAGTAAACTTGTGCGAACAGCGGCTTCGAATTATTCTACGGCTGCAGAAATGACTATCGGACACCCTGTAATTATACCGTTACTCTAGGTGTTGGCGTACTTTCTAGCGGTTTCTATAAGTGTTGTTCTAATTAATAATTTAATAAAAGAACCAAGCTGAGCTCAAAGGCAATTAAACGCAAGACGCATGTAAAAAAGCCTTCGACTGTTCTTAGGTCGATCCTGCTACGTCGTATGTTCACGATATCTTATAACATGGAGTAACTATGAAGCCGGTGGGTTCGTCAATTTACTTCTAGTAGAAATCGCATGCTTTGTTAGAATAAAGTTTTGTTTCAATCAAAAATGAATGTAATATACATACATAGCAGCGTCAATGAGCACTTATGGATTTTCTATACATATACATGTGTATATATATTATCTGATAGCACTAAACACACACAAATATACAGTAGTAAGCCATATCTTGTATCTATAGATAATAGTTGAAGTATAATTTGAGCATATTTGGTTTTGCTCTGGAAGTTCAGCGAAACAAATTAGCCTATCTTCGCGAAAATTGTCGTAAACCTTAATGGCGTCCACCGTTAATTTTATTTAGTTTATGGCATTTTTTCAGTTTCGAAGATCTTGATTGTGGCGTGAAACAACCGCGTAGTTGCACGTCTCGTTGCACGTCGACATGCCAAACTACTAGTGACAATTATTCCTCTGAACTTGGTTTTATTAAACAAAGTTTGCTTTCGTATAGAATAGACGGCTGTCAGTTTCCACTTCTCATTATTGCGTGCAATGGTCGCTTTTTATGGCCAAAATAGCTTGGCCATTGTCACACACCGCAATAAGGAAACTGCTTCCTTTAGCTACCGTATTCATCGTATTGCTGGCAACTTCAAATTATCACACGTTTCGGCACATGTTTAAACAGTAGGACCTTGATCGCGTTAGGAACAGCTTTTAATAGGACGCACATCTGGCTAGGAAAACGTAAAGTATACCTTAGTCGGATACGCTGCGTTGTTTTATAGTATACTGAGGTTATCAAAAAAAAGAAATGTTCTTCAGGCTTACTATCTGCGCTCCAAACTTCGACAATCGCTGACAGCGAATAGATATGCAAAAGTTGCGCACAAAGACGCCCACATTGAAATGGTAATAGGATTTGTAACGATCTTTGTCGTACGCCAACAAAACCGATGACAAATCATTCAAAAGGGCTGCTATGCATGGTACCTTTTAGTCATTCTATGAATGTAAAGTACATGAACGAAGATTAGATTGATACCAACAAACTGTACTGCTGACGATAATCTCATTCGGGCTACGAGCCGTTCGACGCGAAATAACAGAGGGGCAATAGTTGTCTGCTTTGGCCTAACACGAGCCGGAACCCCACTTGAAACCGCATAGTTAATGGCGAGGTTGTAGCACGACCTGACTCCGTTCGACCAATATGTGTAGGTTAATAGGAACACGGACAGAAAGCTTAAAAACCTGAACATGATTTACTTAGAGGTGCCTGCGTCGATGCTCTAATAGGTATGTTATATGGTAATCAGCAGCTGAACTAGCAGCTGTCTCGGTAGAGAAATCGCTGTCTTTTAGAAAACATAATAAATAAGTTATCGATGCTATACGGTTTCAGCTATTATACTGGACAATGAATGTAAAGAGGTTTAGCCGCGTCTTTCTTCTCTGAAAATCAGAGAAAATCTCGATATTTACATAGCGGGCATGACTTTTATCGGCGATTTCGTTCATGTCTAAACTTCGTTACGTATTAAGGTTTTACGGATATGCAATGGACGGAATTCCTGCATTGTCGAATGTCTGGAAATGCCTACAGAATCAACGATCGATCGTAGCAAAGCAAACATTTTATAGGTGTACCTTTGATTTTTTTTTCAGAATAATAAATAAGGTCGCGATTCAATTTTCCATGAATACTAAGCTAACAATTCGAAATTATTTCAATCTGCAGCCTAGTAATAGGTATGCTATCGAAATTCCCTGTAGCTATGCTACATATTTCCACTGACATTATGTCAGCCTCTTGACGAGTCCCTTAACGCTCCAGGCAACCGCTCAAGGCATTAAAAATTGTATTTGTTTTAGCGAATAATGCAATGATTAATCCATGTAATCCACTCGAACCATATCTATTAAAATTTGTCCTGCTTCTGACAGTCCTCCCTAGGCTTCTTTCCCTTATTTGCTTTGCGGTTCTCTTCTGTTTTTTCTACGACGTTTTCTACGACGATATACGTTGTTACGAGATATGTTCTTATGGGACGATTCGCGGTTGACAAATGCGAAACAAACTATGCTATGTAAGTATAGCACGTTACGACTATTTTTTTACGAAAAAGCTTAGGCACATCTGTATTTAGTACGTCGTTTGTTATATCATACTATTCGCTATGTTCAAACCGAGCCTGACACGCCATGGGTACAAAGCCTAACAGCATAGGTACGATGAATCGTACATAAACAATTTCCTCGAAGCTGGCAGGTACCGCCATGCAACATTACTAAACGATATGAGCCTCAGGTGTACAACTATTAAATGAAAAATAGAAAACAATATTTCAAACTTTGCACCCAAAAACGCAAACATAACTGCCCGCTTCCAGCTGTCACCGAAAAATTTGCTCTCAGGCTTCATCACACCCCATGATTTGTAATATGCCGGAAACTTTTGAGTATACAGCTAAATCGGCCGGATGAAGTGCTTTTCAGAAAACACAAATACAATATTAATTATAGATTGCATTGCGAAATTCGTTTGAGTGCTGATTATCAGCCTCATCCTTTTCGCTTGTTATCAGCTGTTGCGAAATTTTCACCAGCCGTAAACCTCCCAACCCCACGAGCGACCTTCTCTCGTCACCCGAGCTATGTACTGTACACGCGCTGATCACTGAGAAGCAACGTGTTTACGGCTTACGGTGTCATTAATAGTAGGCAGTACACAAAAACACTCGTCAGGTGCTGCCATAATGTCTTATAAGTGGCTGTATATGTCCATCTGATGAATATGCTGCAATGACGTGCCATCACTAAATTTTTCCCTCAGCCCGCCTGCCCAGATATGAAAAACCGTTTCGCCATTTACGGGTCGACGGCCCTAGCAAACAGACATTGCATTTTTTGTACTAAATTTTATTCAGGCGCATCATCGGTCTTCATCAATATGTCGACGCAAAATGGCCACACGGTGGCGGCGCTCGCACACCCTGAATCCCCACCAAAACCCCCGGCTGCATTCATATTGTCACTAGAAACGCAGAAATACTGCTAGCGGCAGTATGGTGACCCCCGCAAAAGTGGCAGCTACATCAGGAGTAGCAGCACATCCGTGTGCAGAGATTACTGCTGTTCACTTCACTGTGATTACTTCGATGTTCAGGAGATATTAACGTGATTGAGGAATAACGACGGGATTGCGCTGCGGCCCCGTCCACTAGACCGCTCACGTTAGTAAGGTTGAATGGGAAGCACATCTTAAAGGAAAATAAATTACATTTTTATTGAAAAAATATCTATTAATTGAGTCAATGCAGACAAAGATTTTTAACTGATTTGTGGTAGTCCTTACTGAACGCAGCCATTCCTTTTGAAATGTTGAGCTTAAGTTGAAAATGCATTTTATATATAGAAAGGGGCAAAAGTTTCTTAATAGCTTCAAAAATAACTTGTTTTGGGAATCGTTATTTAATATCTGTATATAGCAGACGAGTAAAACATGACCTAAATTAAAACAAAGACCCTTAGACTTTTATTCCGCCCTGCATATCGTCTCTCGATATATAAGCACTGGAATGCGTATGCTTGGCAAAACTGGAGGTACAATGTACATGTTTGTAAAAAAATTCCCAATAAATGTAGTGAGATGTAAACTTCACTATACATTAAAATAGGATAAAACATTTGCTAAAAAAAAAGAAGCCAGGTCTACTTAACCCGATTAGCATCACAAATACATTGAACAATGTCTCGCTGGGCTAGGTTGATGTATTTCGTAAGATTTATGTAACTTCATTTTTCCTTTGTCTAAACCTGACAAAAGCATCCCAAGGCTGGTTCGTCTCAACCTCTACGACCCAATAGGTCTGCCTGTGCCAAATCAGTCACCCAGTATTTATAGATGTTCATGTCTGTCCGCGTACGCATGCTGTTTGTTTCCGTCCGCTCATCTAATAGATATATA